CGGGTTTGTAACTCCAGACACCTGAAACAGCAGACCATCGACCATTTTCATCTCATCACCAGAGTCGTCATTGCCGTACTTTTGGACAAATGTGATGGCATCGCCACGGCGGCCCACAGCGACATCTGCTAGCCTCCAAACCGAATGGAGTCCCGCCAGTTTACGTGCATTAAGGTCGTTTTTCCAGTTGCGGGGAAACTGTGATGCACGATGCCCCTTACCTGATTTAGTCAGGCTAGTCACTGAGGCCAAATTGTTGGCAGGAGCCACGCAGATCCCCCCCATAGCAACTGTAGATGCAAGAGAAGTATCGGCGTTAAGCATTGGCATGGAAGCCGCCAAAGCGAAAGAGGATTTTCCTGAGCCTGGTGGCCCGAAAATGGCCAGATGCCTTTGTCTGGTCGACTGGTTGGTGTTCCGTGCCAGAATTCGGAATAGGTAGCCGGCTGCCATAAGTTCAGGAGATGGTAAAAGAAAACCTGAGGGCTTAAAAAATGGTAGAAGTAGAAGCGTTTGCGGGCAGTAGGGAATTATGTATAAATAAATAGTCCAAAAAAGGTCGTTGTTGGGCGGATTAAGAACATATAGCTCTGGTTGGTGATTAAGTTGTTTTCGTGTGGATTGGAAAGTATGTATCTCATATGTACTTTTAGTGGTTTTTCGTGTATTTCCTTTCATTTAGTAAGGTCCTGCTAGTACTTCGAAAGTTTTAACACGAGGTTACTTTTTATTAATAGTGTGGATAACTTACCAAACTGTAGTGTTTATGTGAGTTAATTAGTTTTATGTGATCAATGAGATGTATTCAGCTAATTTGGTTAAGTGATAAAGGACTGGTAGTTGAATGGCGAATCAAGTAAAAAAATGAAAAAACGTTTTGCTGGCTGAGAAACTCCGTCCTAGGGAATGAAAGTATATGAAGTTTTCCTTCAAATTGACTTACTCTCTTTAATTTATCGCATCGTTTGTAAAAACTTGCATACTATTAAGATTTTTTATCTCCTAAAAAGCTCATGGCTAAGCACCTAAAGAAGAAAAATCTTGCAATGAATCATAATATTTTAGATATATCCGAAAAGGCACATTAAACTAATACATTTTTGTAAGATGACTCTATTCGAGGTATATTCAGACAAGACAATGAGCTTACCAAATCATTGACGTGTGAAAGAACGAATTGATGTGGAAAGGCTGAAGCGGCAATATCCTTCCACTTTTGCCAAAAGGGAACTTGCCCAGGGTAGAGCTGTATGAGAGCATAATCAAATAGCCAGCCCTCTTTGGGAGGGAGTAATTCTTCAGAAATCTGCACCATCTTGTCCCTGAAAACGAAGTATAAGTGGCATTAGTCTTCCTGAATTTCTATATTCATTAAAATTTGGGATAAATAAGTAAGACGAAATACTACTTTGAATTGGGAGAGTTTGGGTTGGTAGCCAATTTGCAAGGCGGCATAATGAGCAGAAAAATTTTACTCGGACCTACAATTAATCCTCT